GGGGGAGCAGGGAGCCCCCCAGCCTCTCGTTCTGACAGAAAATTAATTTATTTTAAGCAGAACCCCGATCAGGCTTAATTAGCTTCCATCCCGTTTCTGTCTGGCGGCGGCGGCTGACAGGAATTCCTCATCCTCGCTCAGGTTACGGCCGTGATTCTGCTTCTCGCCTAATTTAGCGGCGATTTTTACCGTTTTTTCTTTTAATCTGGAGGTTTTTATTCACGCGCTGGCTGCCGGAGCGGCCTCCGGGCTCACCTGTGGAGCGCGGTGGGCGTAGGGAGCGATTTGCCGCTCTGTTTGCCCTCACCTCTTTCGGCTGGAAGTGCCTCAGGGGGGGGTAAATTAATAAAAATTAATAAATTAATTTCTTCTGTGAAGAGGAGTTTCTAATTAAGGGGGAAACGGCAACAAGAACCCGCAAGGTAACGTCGCTTTCCCGTAGCGTGCGTATAGATTGATAGGACGCGGTGCGCCGACGTACCCTGCCTAACGAGGCTGTAATTACTTCGGTAATGAACATTTGGGTAACGCTTTCTCGGCTGGGGAGCGCGGGATGGCGGCGGCGCGGCCGGGGTTCCTCCGGATGGCGGCTTTCCATCCCGGGATCTTCCAGCTGGTTTTTCCGCAAGGGCAAAGTGCAGCGATGCCGTCGAGGTCCGTTTCGCCTCAAAGGGCGTCTGAATGTCAGTCCCGGGAGGCTGCAGGTTGGCGGACGACGGGATTCAAACCTCCCCGACGCCTCCCGATCCCCTCTTTTTCGGAGTTAACGGGAGCGGGGTTTATCCCGCGCGAGATCCCTCTCGCTTTCCCGAACGCTTCGCCTCTGCTCCCGAAACGCTCCGTCGTGGAATTCGTTACCAGGAGCTCAGCTTGAAATTAAAACCCGTTTTACGTGTAAGACGAGGAAAAGGTGTTGCTGTGGTGGGGACGTCTCGTTGCTGAGGCGGCGTCAAGGTCCGATTTCTTCGCTCTTTGGCGCGAAACGCGTGGATTATTCGCGGCGTCGCTCCGTTTCGACGCTGGGTAGCGAGAATCTCTTCGGCCGCGAGAGCCACGATAACGAGAAACTCGTCTCTAATTGCTTTTTGCTCTTTTCTAGGTTATGGAGACTGGAACTCTGGGACGAACAGAGGTAAGTACAATAAAAACTGGAATAACAGTTTATGACCTCCCTCTTCAGATCCGTTTCTTGAGCCTGAGGGAGATGCGCCGAGGTCGGTGATGAACAACCGCCATCCCCGCACCCCGTCCAAACTCTCGCTGTCCCCCCCGTGCGACGATTTTCTTCTTTTATTTTAAAAACTCAACGTCGAAGCCAACAGAAAACTTTGTTGCTGTAAATGGTTGCACGGGAAAACTGTTCTAGGCGGAATATTTGGGGTTTGGAGTTGTTTTCCACCAAAAAAAAACAAACCCTTTCTGCTGCTTGGAAAACGCAAATGAAGTCGGTGCGGGGGTAATCGAGGCTTGGGGAGACAGCAGAAATCCAAACCCTCGCTGCGTGCGCCAGCAGCCAAAGAAAAGATCAGGGAGGAGAAAAACCTAAATTTATAAATTTTAACCCTCAGCAGGCGCTCAATTGGCCTTGTGCATTATTCCTACGGTGGTTTTTTTCCCCAGTTATAACCATTTCGGCTTCTTTAGCGGGAGGAGAAGCCTCGCTGTCGCTTTTTGGTTTAAAACGGGTGGGAAACGCGAGGCTGAAAGCCTTTTCGCTTTCAGCAGCGCTCGGCGGCGCTGGCTTTGCGGACGGGTACGCGCTGTAGCATCATCCCTAGGGATTTACGGGGTTATAAAGCAGCTTGTATCGGTTTTGGCGAAGGGATGTCCTAGCTGCGTTCGCCTGGCTACCGACAGCTTCGTATCAAACTAAAAACCAGCTTAAAAATGGTTCTGAGGTGTCTCTGTGTTGACCCAAAACTGGTTTTTATGGAGGCTCGGCCTTGGCTGTCTTTATTCCCATCCGGAGCCGGTTGGGTGGAGGAAGTTGTAGGCTGTGCCTGTCTTTTACGGGACTTATACGAGCAAATTGTTCCCTTAAACCCTTGTGAGCTCAATAGTTTAATGTTTATAGGTAACTTAAAGAAATATTTGAGCTTTTTTTTTATTCTAACTCCCTGTGGCGATTGCTTGGGGCATCTTAATTCGGA